CCACTTAGTCACCCTTGAAAAAATATCTCATGACATGACACTGGTTCAGTCCAAGAAAAATGAAGATGTGGATGAAAGGGCACGTGTCTGGGTCAGAGGAAGGTTTAACAACAAGTTCTGTTATCCACACACGCCAAGGCTCCCAAGCTCATGTGGGAGTCAAATGTATCTGGCCCGTGTTTCCTGCCTGCCTACTCCGCCCTCCTGCATTGAGATGCTCCCCTTGCCTCTACTGCTGGCTGCTGCAGTGGTGGGCAGCAGGCCGAGTCTTCTTCTCCTTTGGAGCGACTGACTGAGCGCATCCTGCTCTGCCTCTGCTCCCCCCAGTCCCTGGCACTCCTCCACACTAGGCCTGGCTGCAAGGCAGGCTGAAGCTGGAGGAGCCCTGCTCCATCATGGGGTGGGAGAGGAGTATCATCTGGCCCCCTAGAGCCACAGGGGGAAAGCAATCCAGTCCTCCAGGGGAAACAAAAATAACAGCAATAGGAATTTGAGTGGAAGGAGAGAGAAAAGGAAACCTTTGAAGGGAAGAGATGGTGGAAGTGCCACAAAAACAGTGGAGAGGAGAGTAGGCTTGCTGTCCACTCACATGAGATTGGAGGTGAGTGAAAACCCAATGCTCGCCCCTCCCCCCAAGGTAAAAAGTGTGGGGGAAGCCAAACTCCGCTGGAATAGTTCCAGGCATTATGGGGAAAGAGGAGGAATGGCCATCCAGCTTGACTGAGGGATGGAGCTTCAAATACAGTTCAGATAAGTATTTAAACCCTGGGTGTTTATCTGAATTGATCCCAAAATCTGCACCTTGCAAGATTCCCCTCCCCCTCCACTGGCCTTTCTGTGCATTTTGCTATCCTACCGCTGCTTGAGCGTTTGGCTGGGTTTTGAACAATGCAGCACTGAGATGCATTCCCTTGTACGTACCCAATGTCACATTGCTCTCATCTCCAGTCATGAACCATTTCCCACAAATAAAATGGGTGGTGTCCAGAAAAAGAGGACGGAGATCTCCCTCCAGCCTCTAACTGGGAGGCCAATTCACGGCTAGTTATGGCAGCAGGAAACTGGTCTGGTTGCCCATTGCACCTTTGCAAGTTTAGAATCACCAGTAAATGAGCCGCGTATCATTTTGTGCTCCCCATTGAACGCCCCTGTTTTCCATCTCTCACTTATTTACTCTTCCCAGTATTATTTCTTTAGTTCACCTCTCAGATTTCACGAGGATCTATGGGATGTTTTACTGAATGTGTTTTTTCATCTTCACCCCAGAGTTTTGAATACGTTGGGAAGACACATCAATGACATTTAGAAGACATGGTACAATCATGCATCCCAAGGAAGGGTTATTCACAAAAGCATGATGGTACCACTGTGGATGGGACACCTTAAAGCCAGCAGACACTTAATGCCATCTCTGCCTTTCTGTGCTCTGGATCAGACAACTGCACGCGTCTCCCCAACAAGTAAAGGCGAGGCACTCCCTGCTTAGCTGTTCACTGCCCTAGGAAAAGCAGGTTGTTGGTTAATAAGTTTCACCTGGATAGCTATTTCTGCTGGCCTCACAAAGTAGTTTCTTTGTTAACAGAAGGTAAACAGCTCCCTGCTGCCAGGTGGGGCAGCACAGAATAGGACAGCGTAAGTGGTCTCCATTTTGAGTTACAGAGCTCTCTATTCACACTACCCCAACCTGCATGTTAACCCCCTTCCATGCCCTATGTGGAAGGCATTTACCAAAAATGTCCCAGGTTTTACAAAGGCTATCATTCAGTTTTTACTGATTTTCACTGGAATTTTGAACCACTTAAATACAAAACAAAGTGCCTGAACTCCCCAAATCCAGCTCCCCACTTTGGAAGAAGAGAGTAGCTCACTAATCTAGGCCCCCCAAGGCCGGGTAGCACACCACGTCACATGCCATGATGTGCCCCAGTAGAAGACTGCTACAGCATCCAGGCCCAGACGAGGCAGACCGAAGATCAGAATTAGTCAAATTATACAGATACCATGGGACATGGAAACGATGGTGTGCGGGACAATTTGAGATTCCAGCAGCTCATTCCCATAGACCAGCCGTAGGCCTGTTTACAGAAGGTCAGACTAGATGACTAGAATGATTCCTTCTGGCCTTGGAATCCGGCACGGACTGAGTAACTGCACACTAAGAGCACAAAGCCTTCTGCCATGTTCAGGGCCCTGCTCCCACTGAAGTAGAGAACATTCCAAGCGCCTGTCCGCTTCCTCCCAGATAACCCACTTAAGAGTGCCGGGAAGGAAACCAGACAATTTCCAGTTAATTTTAGCCTGCGTTGCAGAAGGGCCCAGATAATCATTCCAGAAACCTCCGAAGCCTCAATGTGCACACATATGCCAGTCACTGTTAGCTTGCAGATCTGCTTATCCCCAACTCCACCTCTGACAACACGCGCAACCAGACCGTCAGCACCTCTTGCCTTATCTACTTACTGCCACTCCCCCACATAGCATTCCAGCTCTCCAGAATGCTGCTGCCATTTCCTCATACATTCAAAGCATGACCACATCAACCCCATCCTCAGACACTTCTGCTGGTTCCCATTCCTTACAGGGACCAGTCCAAGTCAAAGTTTGCCTTGATTTACAAACCCTCCATAGAAGACTTCATAAACCTCCTCTCTTCTCTCCACCCAGATCCTTCCCCTTTGCACCAGCCTGCTCTGTGACCACACACAACCTTGTCAACGCTGGTCCAAGAGCCTCCTCCTTTGCAGCTCCTGTCTGCTCTGACTGTATCCCTCTGCCATTTTTGAAGCTGTGACTCTACTTTTTGCCTATCCTCTTAATTTCTTGTCTCATCTAGCTCTGGATCATTTTGGGATGCACTTCGTAGGAAACATACCATAGAATACATAGGTTCTCCAAAGGAAAATGCAATCCTTTGTCGAGCTATCTACATGTGGAGAGTTAACACTCATGCCCCATTAGCCAGTAGTTCAGGGGTTTTGTCACCCCATCAACAGGATAGAAACTCCAGATGAGGCAGCTAACGCACCAAGTGTCCAAGGTTGCATATGGAAAAAAAAAAAAAAAGAGGAGCTGATGCTCATCCTCACAGCTGACACTGAAGAACAGTCAAAGGGTGCTGCACTGTGAGAAGTAGGATCATTCCGAGGAGTTTCCTCCCACTTGTGCCCAGGGGGAAAGCTAAAAATTGCAGGCCACTATTCAAGAGTGTGAAGACAGCCCAGAAGTCCTGCTTGACCTCACTCTTCATTAAACCAGTTCTGATTTTTCAGACTGGGCAAGAGCTATTGTGGCACCCTGAATGGCTGACACTTTTGCCTGTTCGGTCACAGTTAACAGAATCCTCAGTGTACAAGAAACGTTATATAAACTCCAGATGGTGCAGGAAGCGGTGCTGGTGACTCAGAAGATATCACTGTTTCCTTCAAGTCAGTTCTTAGTCAATGCATCAGTTTGGTGTTGGGGCCCTGTGCTACTGGAGATGACATTTCAGAATACAGCTAAAACTGTGGTTGTTAAACCAGGAATACGCTGCTAGAGGAATGTTTATGCTACACAGGAATAGCAGACACAGGCCCTAACCAGCAAGCTATAGGCTATGTTTAAATACAAGACTTTATGCTGACCGTTTCCATTCTTTGTGTGCATGGGGGGTTTATCGAATGGATTTGAGCTTGGATGCTGAGGAGCGATGTCTCCCAGTACAGTTGCCCGATGCTACCAGGTCTCCATGGGAAATGAGAAATCCAGTCTGAATTGATTTCACCTGACTAAAAGTTTCGAACAAAGGACAAGCCAACCAACTCCTCCATGAATTATGAAACAGCTACTAGAGGTCAGGGCACAAATCCCTCCACCCCATCCTCACTGGCCCAGCCCCTGGTCCCTCCTCGGTACTGCCCAAACAATTCGCTGTAATGGCTCAGCTCCAAGGCCTGCTCCTACCAAAAGCCTATGCCCAAGGCACAAACCTGCACCCGCCTAGTGAAGCAGGGATGAGGAAAATGGGGAAGTTCTACACACTCTGTAAAGTATCAGGGGGTAGCCGTGTTAGTCTGTATCCACAAACACAATGAGGAGTCTGGTGGCACCTTAAAGATTAACAGATTTATTTGGGCATAAACTTTCGTGGGTAAAAAACCCACTTCTTCAGGTGCCGAGACAGCTAGGGGGCTGCACAAGATCGGGATGTCCACACCCAACAAGCCCAGCCCATACATAGGCCCTGCCCTAACCCCACTTCCTTCCCCTCCCCCGCACAGAACCCCCCCAACCATGCAGGGCCTGTCACCACCCCGCTTCCTCCAGCTCAGCACCCCCTCGACCCATTGCAGGCCCCCCACACCATCTCACTTCCTCCTGCCCAGCCCTCCTCACCGAGCCCACACCCCTGCCACCACCCCGCTTCCTCCAGCCCAGCCCCCCAACCTCATGTGGGCCCCATCCCCCCAGCCTGTGCTCTGTGCAGGCGCCACCCCCAGTGCAAGCCCCACACCCCCCAGCCCAGCCCCCCGCGACCCATTGCAGGCCCCCTCACTACCCCACTTCCTCCAGCCCCGCTCCTCCTCTGTGCAGGCCCCACCCCCAGTGCAAGCCCCCCAGCCCAGCACCCCGCGACTCCCCTCACCACCCCACTTCCTCCTGCCCAGCCCTCCTCACTGAGCCCACATCCCTGCCACCACCCCACTCCCTCCAGCCCAGCCCCCCAACCTCATGCGGGCCCCACGCCCCCCAGCCCAGCCCCCCGCGACCCATTGCAGGCCCCCTCACCACCCCACTCCCTCCAGCCCCGCTCCTCCTCTGTGCAGGCCCCACCCCTAGTGCAAGCCCCCCAGCCCAGCCCCCCGCGACTCCCCTCACTACCCCACTTCCTCCAGCCCCGCCCCTCCTCTGTGCAGGCCCCACCCCCAACACAGCTTCCACCAGCCCCGCCCCCCACCGCCGCCTGGGCCCCACCCAGCGCTCGCCCCGCCCCAGGACAGTGGCCCGCAGGCGCCGCTCACCGGCAGGGGCGCGCCCAGCAGGCGGTGCAGGGCGGGCAGCTGCGCGCCCAGCGGCAGCGCCTCCGGCAGCGGGTGGACGGGCGCGCGGCGCGGCTCCGGGAAGCTGGCGCACGAGAAGGGGTCGCTGTCGTCCAGGTACTGCAGGCGGCAGAGCGCGGCGCCGGGCCCGGCCGCCATGGGCGCAGCGCAGCGCAGCGCTGCTCCCCGCGCGCCCACCCGGCGCAACTGCCCGCGCGCCGCCTGCCTCAGCGCAAGGCCGAGCCCGCGCCCCGCCCCGCCCCGCTGTCCGGCCTGGGGCGGGGCGGGGCTACGGCCCCCCAGCCAATCGCTCGCCGGTAACCGGGACAACCGGCCACTACAGAGCAGCCGATTGGCCAGCGCTGCCGGGCAGGCGGGGTCTGGCTGCGGCTAACGGGCCCCGCGGCGAGGAGCAGCCGCCCCGGGGCGGGGCCCAGCGGCCTCAGCCCCCTCCCGCAGGGTCAGGCGCAGCAGCGCCGGCCGGAGCCCGCCCGGGGGCCCAGCGCTCCCCAGCGGCCGGAGCAGGCTGTCCCCGCCGCGGGCCGGGCGAGCTCCGTGCGGCTGCTGGGGGTAGGGGACCAGCTGCACCAAGTGCCTGGGGAGCAGTGGGAGGAGGGCGCAGGGGAGGGGGGCACAGTGTTAGGGGAGAAGGGGCGCAGGAGGAGGGGAAGGGGCGCAGGGGGCAGCGGAGAAGGGGTGCGAGGAGGAGGGGACGCAGGGGGAAGGGGAGGAGGTGTTGCAAGGGGGAGAGAGGAGAAGGGGCACAGGGGTAAGGGGAGGAGGGGGTTTGAGGGGGTGCAGGGGGAAGGGGAGGAGAAGGGGCACAGGAGGGAGGCACAGGTGTTAGCAGAGAAGGGGATACGTGAGCATCCCCATAGGCACTAGGTGGGTAAGGGGTGCACAAGTGGGGTCATGTGTTGGAGCATACATGAAACGTGCTAGCTGGGCTGCTGTACGGGACTGTGTGGGCGGTTAGCTCAGGATGGAGCTGTTGTCTTCCCCAGACCCCTTGTCTGGCCATGCGCCACTGGCTCTGCTCCGGTTCCCTCACCTGTGTGCAGGGCTGAGCCCTGGCAGAACTGTGTTGCCAGCCTGGGGCCTGGCCCTTCCCAGCGCTAGGAGAGAAAGGACACCTGGGGCTAAGGCTCTCATTAAAGTTGCTAATCACCAGATGTGCCCACTAGAGGGTGTTTGGAATTTAAACAGACTCATCCCTGGCCCGCGGTTCTCTGTTGACAAGCCAGCGTGCTAGCTGCACAGCTGTGGCTCTTGCGAGGCCTGGCTGAACATGGCACTGACACACCCATAGGGCACTGCTCAGGCCACTCACGTGGTCGGTGCTGTCCTGGGGCCTTTGGCGCACACAGGGCTGATTTCTGCCCCTTGGCTGTTGACAGCCTTTGACCCTGACACAACTGCACAGCGGTGGCAAGGAGGAAAGGCCTCCTAGAGCCCCACATGGCAGCAAGCGCACCCCCCGGCACTCACATGTGCTCAGCTCCATGGACCTGGGGAGTCCCAGGCTGGAATTCCAGCGGAGGGGTCTGGCCCCTGTCACTCACACTTGCAAATTACAGTGGCCAGCTTTTATTTGACCCTGTTCTATTCTGTAACAACCTTTTCTCTGCATTGAACAGATCACTGGGATGGCGAAGGAGTAACTCGGGGAGGTACAGCTCTCTTGTGCCAGTTCCACAGCCAGTTGGAACTGCCATGTGCCTCTGTGTTGCACACGACAGACTTGGAGAGCTTCACAGCTGTGGCTGGGGCAGAATCCCCATCACCTGCACCAAAGCACAGGGCCCCGATGCCTGAGCTAATGGAGAATCTCTGCTATCTGTTAGCAATGCAGGGCCCATGACAGCCAGGAGAACTATGAGAGGTACATGCATACACACACCAGCCTGTTCATTACACACGTGCCTATATAGACAAAGCTTGCCTCAGAACCAGCTGTTCAGATCTTCCTTCTGACATCAACATAAGAAATCTCTGAACCAAGGGCTTCCATCCAATAACCTCCAGGCTTTGCGTGGGCTTGTCTGAGATGGTTGTGACATTGTATAAAAAGAAAGACGACCATGTTTACACTAAGGTATCACCATTGGTGCACAATTGTGATAAATCTCATACAAGTATGTCTTGTAAGGTATCCATGAAAATGTTATGAGCTGCTAAGTATTATTTTCCTATTTAAATCCATATATCATCATTGTATCTGAAGTTACAAAGTTTTGCTGTGTGTTTGTATCTCAAATGTGTTGTGTTCCTGGATATCACCCACAAGACAGATTTGCATCAAGGCTAGTCAGCCATGTGTTTTTTGTATATTAATAAACTTTTAGGTTTTAGTTACTAAAGGATTGGCTACCAGCATGGGTTTGGGTGAAATCTAAATGACCTGGAGTGTGTGTCTGGTTCTTTGGAACTGGAAGAACCTAATGTCAAAAACAACAAGGAGTCTGGTGGCACCTCAAAGACTAACAGATTTATTTGGGCATAAGCTTTCGTGGGTAAAAACCTCACTTCTTGTGTTGACACTGGTTCTCCACTTGCGAAGTAACTCCCTGCTCTCCATGTGTCAGTATATAATGCCTGCATCTGTAACTTTCACTCTGTGCATCTGAAGAAGTGAGGTTTTTACCCACGAAAGCTTATGCCCAAATAAATCTGTTAGTCTTTAAGGTGCCACCAGACTCCTTGTTGTTTTTGTAGATACAGACTAACACGGCTACCCCCTGATACTTGAAACCTAATGTCTGTGATTCTTGGTTTAATAATCATTTATCACAGAAGTCTGGATGGTGCATGAGGGCCTGAAGGAGATTCTATGGCTTCCTGCGATCATTAGTAGTTCTGCCATCTTACTTTGGAAAATTTCAGGTGCACTGGTAATCCTCAAAAGTAAAATCTCCCCAAGGGTGTGATAAATTGAGTTAGTTTAGCACTTCCTGTGGTTTAAAGGAATTTGCCAGAATCCCTTTGAGGCATCCAGCTTGGAGAATACTGTATCTCTTTTCACTTTGGGGAGCAAGTCAGCCAGTGTTAGGAGCATTTCCCCCCTCCCCACAACTACTTCATTGTCTTTTTAAGATCCACACGGATTCATATTTTTCCATTTTTCGTTATAATTGGTACCACTGGGACACATCATGCTTTTGGCTCAGCAGCCAATCATTCTATTCTCTTTAACGCAGTTTCCACTTTATGAAGTAGTGGGATAGGAATCATGTGAGGTGTACGTACACTATATGGTGCAGCATTTTCTCAAGGTTATTTGTACTGGATCTCCTGTCAAAAGTCCAATATCACCAAATATTCCATCGAGTTCTTCCATCTTTCTCACTAGGCCCATCATAGGGTGTTGGTCTATGGTCCTTTGATCACATACAATCTGAATGCAAAGCTTTTGTCTTTGTAAGCCAATGCATGCAGAGCTCTTATAAAACATTCAACATTTCCTCCCGGTTCTTGAATTCTTTGGTGAAAACATGCTCTTTCATTAAACTACATTTCTCTGAGGTATAAAGTATGCATCAAACATAGCCAGAGCCCTTTCAGAGTTGTCTTTTTGGCTGTCTTCAGTAAAGTCAAAGGATTTAAAGATATTCTCTGCCTTGCTTCCCCATAGCATACATTAGATACCTGTATATCTCAAGGGTGGTTTTTTTGTGTGTGTGTGTGGAATTTGATTGCAATTCAAAAACTTGCAAAATACTGCTTCCAGCCTGTCTGTTGTGAAGGTTTGTCAAAGCTGACATTCTCTGGGGCATTGAAGAGTGGCATGTTGATGAGATCCTGCATCCTGTTCCTTCTGTCTGTAATCTTTGCTGTTTTCCATCTGTTTCTGTTCTTAGTTCACTTCTGACACCTGTCATGCTCCTCTACCGGCTGTGGACTGGCTACGGAGCTTGCTTATACACTCCACCTGTGTTCATACATTCCTTTAATGTTCTGCCCGGTTGGGTGAGGTTTGTTTAAATCAGATATTGTGCACCAAGTGCTACCTAGTGGCTGAATAGTGTAATACAGATTGGCTTAGCCGCTGTAATGAAAAGCTAGAGTCTGCTTGGACAGCTCAAAGTGGAACAGAAGTAGCAAGCAGCCCTCAAAAGCAGAGTGATCAATAGGGTGACTAGACAGCAAATGTGAAAAATTGGGATGGGGGTGGGAGGTAATAGGAGCCTATATAAGAAAAAGACCCAAAAATCAGGACTGTCCCTATAATATCGGGACATCTGGTCACCCTACATGTAGGTTTCTAAGCCCCTTTCCATACCCCCACCATCAGGGATCTGGGGGCCTTGCCATTCTCATGGTCCATTCCCCTCTCCCTTCCCCCCCCTCATATGAGAGGGTATCAGTGGGTCCCTGTCATTCTGCGATTGTCTGAGCCCTCTCCCTTCCCCCTGGATTTGCGCCTGAGCTGAGGACTCCTGTCCCTCTAGGAGTGTCTAAGCCACTTTCCCTGACCACCCCTCAATGTGGGATCTGATCCCCTGTCCCCCAGGGGTGTATAAGCCCTTCTCTCTGTGAGCCAGAATTTGAGGGCCCTCTTCCTTCTGAAAGCGTCTGAGCCCATCTCCCTGTCCCCCATGTGATCCGGCAAAGGGGGAAGCCCTTCCTCTCTGCATGGGGAGCTGAGAACAGGCATGCTGGGAACATGCACCAAGAACACACTGCTGAGACTGAGGTCAGAACAAGCATATCACAGGCTTTCCCAGGGGGTGGAGTCAATAAGGACACCCACTGAGATTGATGGAGCAGCTCACCTATCTCAGAGCACTTTTTCAGGCTGTATTCCTCTCCACCTGTTCTCATTCAAGGCAGACCATGCCATTGAGATGAATAGGCCACTTCACACCTCCCTGAGCCTCCTATGCTTTCAGGATTGGCCTGTGCTAGGGATCTGGATATAGACTCATAGAATCATAGACTATCAGGGTTGGAAGGGACCTCAGGAGGTCATTTAGTCCAACCCCCTGCTCAAAGCAGGACCAATCCCCAGACAGATTTTTACCCCAGTTCCCTAAATGGCCCCCTC